AGATTTTTTTTTCCTTGAGAAAATTTGGCAAGTACTGTACCTGATATATATCCAAAATGATCGATATTGAATCGAATCGAATTGGTAATTGAATCAAATTGGTAATTGAATCGAATTGCAAGCTTGCGAATGAGAATCGAATCGTGAAATTTGTGTCAAAACCCAGCCCTAGTGTTGATATAGCTATTCTTTGTGAATATTGGTAACAAAAAAAATGATTGGTCAAACTGATTATTTTATTCTAAAGGAAACACTGATACACACTTTTGGCCATCTCTGTTAGTATGATGAAGTGTGTCAGCTGCCGAGATGCGTCTATGAGAGAAATATTACACATCTGTAAGAGCTCATCATCTACAGTGGGTATAGAAAAAAATCACCCCCCTTTAAAATAAGTACATTTTGTTGCTTTGCAGCCTGAAATGAAGACGGACACAGTTTTTGTTTTATCCAGCTGTATTTACTCCGTGCAACTTGTATCATCCAAGTGAAAGATATAATACCAACATGTCAGAAAATCACTGAGTTGGAAAAAGGATCACCTCCTTGTTTCAGTATAGTTTTGAACCACCTTTTGCTTTAATTACAGCCTTTAGTCTGTTGGAATATGTCTCAATATGTCAATATTTGTCCACTCTTCCTTACAGAACTGCTCAAGTTCAGTTAAATTTCATGGTGACCATTTGTGGACTGCAGTCTTCAAGTCATTCCACAGATTAAAAAAATATATAATGTTATTGATTTTCAAATAATACACACATACAATAACCGCAATGAACAGACAGACAAACAAACCCAAAGCACTGAGAAATAAACAATTACATATAAAAAATACACATCTCTTCCTGCACAGATTATTTAGAAACATGACAGAAAAAAATAAATAAATAAAACAAAGTAAAAACCCATAGTCCTCTTGAAACAGACTGTCAGAGTTTCTGTAGAAAAAAAAAATGCACAGGTTTCCATAGTCTCCAAAATTTGTCAGACTTGTGATTGAGATCACAGGTTAATTTCTCCAAAGGAAAAAGGGCTGATAACTGAGATATCCACATGGTAATGGTTGGAACCTGGGGTGCAGACCACCTCAGTAGAATACATTTTTTAGCCAGAAATAAAAGGATTATAAATAAATATTTGGCATCTGGGTCCAAAAAGTTATTTACCAATTAGGCTGAATCGCAGAATGAACCCCTTTCCAGAATGGCTGAATGTGATTACAGGACCAAAAAAAAAAAAATGCCATTGTGTATCTTACATTTAAAACCAAGATTTGAACAATTAGGGAGCATTCTATGGAGGCGAACAGGTGTAAAGTAAATCCTGTGAAAAAATTAGAAATTTTGTTTATGTAGAGAAATTGAAGTACCTTTTGGAAAAATGCCATTACGAATCTTAGTACAGTTTGCTGAACTGAATGATGCATCCAGGTCCCATTCCCACAACGGCTTCAAAGAATCATAAACTGAGGAATCAGAATACACCAATAGGGCATACAACTTGGAAATAATCCCTTTGAGAGATTTAGCTGAACTCATGGTTTCTTCCAATTCTGGTCAGTTTAAACTGAATTTATTCTGCCTTAAAAGAGACTGTGAAATGCCGAATTTCAAGGTATTTGAAAAAATCTACAGGGAGAATGTTAAACTCTACTCTGATTTGCTCAAATGACCTCAGAGATTCAGAAATCATCAGGCCTGAAAAATCAGACAAGCCCTTAGAACTCCAATTTATCTGGTCTATATTGTTAATAAACAAGAGTCTTCTATAGGGTAACAAGATAGAGATTCAAAGTCAATCCATAGAGTGTCCTGCCTGTTAATGAACCAGTTTGTCATTATTTTGAGTTGAGCAGACCAATAGTAGAGTTGCAAATTGTGCAAAGACGGACCTCCCAAATCTTTTGGTTTACAAAGTTTAGAAAAACTAATTCTCTGCTGCTTATTATTCCAGACATAACGAGATACGTGAGAGTTCGATAATTTAAAAAAAGGTGAAGTTAAATAACATAGAAGATTCTGAAACAAATAATTTAGCTAATCAAGGGAGAATATTAATTTTTATAACATTAACCCCTCCCAAGAAGGGAAGTTGGCAAGGAGGTCCACTTTTCCAGATCGTTTTAAATTTTTTGAATTAGAGGAGAATAATTGGTCCCAAATAAGTTATTCAAATCGGGAGTGATAAAAATGCCCAAATATTTAAGACCTCTTTCTGAAACCTGAAAAGGAGATTGTATAGAGGAAATATTAAAAGGCTTGGAGACAGATTTTCCTAAATTAACTTTATAACCTGACACAGCACTAAATGAAGCTAATGAATTCAAAACTGCAGGAATAGAGGTATGTGGGTTCTCCAAGTACAGGAGAACATCGTCTGCGAACAAAGAGATAACATGTTTTTTTTTTTCCCCCATTCACTGTGATCCCTCTAATATCCTGATGCATTCTGCCAGGGGCTCAATAAATAAAGTAAACAATAACGGTGATAGAGGAACACCCCTGTCTACAATCTCTATGTACCGTACACCCCTCAGACATCAGGCCATTTGAGTTGACAGTGGCCATTGAATCTGCATAAAGATGTTTAATCACACTAATAAAACTGGAGCCTAATCCAAAATTTCCTAACACTGAAAACAGAAAACACCATTCTACACGGTCAAAAGCCTTTTCGGCATCCAAAGATAAAATCATCGCAGTGACATACAAATAATTGTCATAAGTCAAATTGATGAGATAAAATATAATTATGACATATGAAGTTAAAAATGCTGAGAAAAAAAAAACATAATTATCACAAGAAGCCAAAGTTCAATTTGTGAAATACTAAGTCATAAATTTCATTATTTTTTATGTAGTAATTATGACTGAATTTCATTTGAATTTCAATGTTTCCCTAATAAAAGTGCCTTGGAAATACTGTAATAAATTAATATGGTACTATGGTATGAATTTTAGTATCAAGTTATATATCAAAGTACCATATATTTACCATCTTTGTACCATGGTATCACCACAGTATGTTCTGCAGCCGCTAGCAGAATGTGACTGCAGGACTTAACATGTTCAAGTCGTGCAGTCACATTCTGCTAGCGGCTGCAGAACATACTGATGGTCTGTATAAAAGGACAGATATCAGCGGTGTTATTCCAGACGCGTGAGTCCAGATGTTTGGAATCAGGTTTATTTAATGGAGCGATCGAGTAGAAATGAAGCTCACGTGTTCAGACGGATGCTGCAGGATTTATAGACTTCATTAAGACATTGTAAACTTCTCTTCTCTTAATTTTCTTGTTTTCAGAGCAGATTTTACACGCTTGGGGCTTTTCACGCTCACACCATCGAGCGCTCCGACGTGCCAGAGCTCAGAAAATAAATCCATAAAACTCAAAATCAAGCCGTTTGCGTGTGAAACAACACTTAAAACCAGACTGCGCCCGGCTCGTGCGAAGGCCAGTGCATGAGGCACATAAAATCTATTCAGAAACATCTGACCACCCAACTAGCGGACATGGGCTTTGTTTGTGAACCCTATTAATATCTTGCATTGGTTTTTTCCCATCAGACCTTGCTGCTCTCATGTACCCAACACCCTTGTACGCTCCGGCCGGCCGCGGCTCTTTCTCAGACGTGTACGAACCCGCCGAAGATTCGTTCCTCCTGATGGATGCTCTGGAGAAAGATGCTGATCGGCTGAAGGGTAGCAGGTGATGAACATGATTGACTCTTAACTTCGCTGTGTCATTCTGATCTACTAATGGGTCGATGTTTTCAGGCCATCCGTGTGTCTGGAGGTGGGCAGTGGGTCTGGTGTCATCTCGGCCTTCCTTGCATATGTGGTCGGGCCTGAAGCATTGTATCTGTGAGTACAGAAAAATCATGTCCGCTCACCCCGCGGTTTGTACAAATAAAAGTCACTTCTTTTGTGTTTGTTCTGCAGCTGCACTGATGTGAATCCAGTAGCGGCACACTGCACACTGCAGACCGCTCACTGTAATGACCTGCAGCTGCAGCCAGTGATCACTGACCTGGTGAGATCCACACATGCGTTTTCTCTTATTTATATACTATTCTAGTATTTTTTTTTTTAAATATGTTAAATTAGCTTTTAGTTTTATATTTTAGTTTTCATTTTAATTTTAGTCATTTTGTTATGTGCTTTTGTCATTTTTAATTTTTAAAAGTATTTCTATAGAGCTTCAAATTATTTTAATTTATTTTAGTTTAGTTTTAGTAATTTTAGTACTTCATCTTTGTTTAAAATGCAATTTTATTTTATTTCAGCTTTATTTCATTCACTGAAAATGATTTTTAATATTTTTAGATTTAGTTAACAACAGGGTTATTATCATGACCTAAAATAAACACAAAAACTCAAATTAACGTGAAATTAACAAGAAAAGAAAAAACAATTTCTAAATATTACTCTAACAAAAAGTATATATCAGTGATTATAAAATATCACTGGTTAACAATAACAACACTGTTTTACACCTGGTATGAACATCCTTATGGATTGAGTGATCCAATCAAGTGTAGAAAGCTAAATACAGCCGTCAGAAACTTGTGTAGTGTAAACGGACAACAGTCAAGGACCTCCTTTTCACCTACCAATCATCGGCAGTGGTACAACAGGCAGTTAAACTTGTTCAGTCTCATCACACATAGTGACAGGAGGACGTGCATTAATAGCAGGTGTGATGTCTTACCTGAGATGGATGTTAACAAGTTTCTCTCACTTCGTGTCCTCTTTCTGTCTTATGATTTGTTCTTTTATCATGTTTGTTCAGTTGTTTCAGTTGTTTTGTTGTGTCTCACAGGTCCAGTGTTTTTTGCCGAGGTTGAATGGAAAAGTGGACGTGCTTCTTTTCAATCCACCATACGTCATCACACCATCAGAAGAGGTAAACGAGTGTCACGTCATATGATCAGATACTGAGACAAGCTCTGAAATCATTCAAGACAAAAAATGCCTCTGAAAGTGACAGAGATGCCCAATATGTACTATACAATACACTATGAAGTAATTTCCTGTTTTCCTCAATTTTTCTGCATTTTGATATATTTGTAGGACTTGTTTGTGCCTCTGCAGACACTGTAGTGAGCATCTTAATTCACTTGAAACTAGTTTTTTTATGGACAAAATGTTAATGGTGTTGAAAAAAAATGTGAAGAAAACATCCTCAGCATCTCCAAAAAATGATACAGAAATCTAAAAATATCATGTCATGACAGACTGTATAGAGCTGTATAATCAAACCAGGACTTTTATAGTTAACAAAAACTAAAGTCATAAAAAAATAAACAATAAATGAAATTTTAAAAATATAGTTTTTTAAATTATTTCAGTTAGTTGCCAGGGCAACACTTCTCATTTTCATTTTCATAACTAAATTAAAACTGAAATTTAAAAAAATATCACGTATCATAATATCACAAAAAAATTCAGTTCTCCTCTGGCCAGACAAAACCAGCATGGTGTGGTTTAATTCCAGGCTGCAACACCGGTGCAGAGGACTTGTCTTGTTCCCTTGGTCTTGTTATGATGGCCGTCTAGTTGACAAGGTCTTCGCAGGGGATCTGTCTCTAGGGCTCATCTAGAGGACATGGTCTCTGCTGACATTCAGGGCTGTAGAGGTACCTCTAGGTGCTGATCCACCATCTGGTCTAGATATGGACTGGATCTGGGTGGCTACAGTGACCTCGGAATAAGAATGAAACAGACTAATATTAGCATAGATGCCATTCTTATGATGTAGCGAGTACATCGGGTTTTATGGGAAGTGTTCCCAGTTCCGGTTGACCTAATTAATGCAGCCTAACAATCCTTTAATGGATTTGAATTATAGAAATGTGATAGTGTGTTATGTGTATGCCAGGTTAAAGAGATGGGTCTTTAATCTAGATTTAAACTGACAGTGTGTCTGCCTCCCGAACAATGCTAGGTAGATTGTTCCAAAGTTTGGGCGCTAAATAGGAAAAGGATCTGCCGCCTACACTTGATTTTGATATTCTAGGTAGGTATTATCAAATGGCCAGAGTTTTGAGAACGCAGCGGACGTGGAGGACTATAATGTAACAAGAGCTCGTTCAAATACTGAGGTGCTAAACCATTCAGGGCTTTATAAGTAATAAGCAAGATTTTAAAATCTATACAATGTTTAATA